CGTGAGGGGCGGGAAAAGGGCGGAGCGGGCTCAGCGCGCGCTCGCTGTGAGGGCAAAGCACGGCCCCGCGCCTGCGCCGTGATGGCGGCGAAGCCGGCGCGGGCTCCGCGCATGCGCAAGGCGCTGAGGGGAAAGGCGGGCGGCGGGAAAACTCCATGGCGGAGGCAGCGGCGGGAGCCGGCGGCTCCCCCGGCCCGGCCCCTGGTCCGTCCCCGCGGGGCTCGGCCGGGCCACGGGAGGACGAGGTGAGAACCGGAGAGGCTCGGCCCGGCCGGGGGAGCCGCGGGGCGGCCGCGCTTCCAGCCCGGTAATGGTTTTTCCCCTCAGCGATGCCCCGGCGGAGCCAGCCCTGAGAGCGGAGGGGCAGCGCCAGGTAAGGGCAGGGAAGGGGAGGCAATGGCTGCTCTCGGTGGAGGGAGGAGTTGTTTGGGTGATGTGGATGCCCCTCAGGTGCCGTCAGCGCTCCCGTTCCTCCCGGCTACAATTCAAACCCTAAAAGCCGCGCTCTGAAACTTGTAAATAAAAAATTCCTCTCATAAAAACAAGAAATCCCGAGTGGTAAAGACAGCCCGGCCATCACCGAGTGTTTTTCCCTTTTAATTGCGCTTCTTTTCCCCTCAGATCCGGACTCGGCAGCGGGCGCTGAGGCGTTTTTGAAATCACCCGACACAAAACGAAGCCCGAGCTCCTCCAGCAGGAAGAAAAGAGCCCCGAGCAGCCCCGGGCCACCCAATTCCTTCAGTTTGTCGCCCATTGTCGCCACCCCTCAGCGCAAGCGCCGCTCCTGGCGCCGCTCCAGCCTCAAGGGGAGGCGATCCCGCCGCAAATCGCTGCCCCCCGTGCACCACGACATCACCGGTTCGTGCTTCGGGACCTTCATTAGCGATTAATTAGGGTGGCTTCATTAGTGATTAATGAGGGTGCCTTCATTAGTGATTAACGAGGGTGCTCGGAATTAAAATCCTCCTTGGGAGTGGGCACGGGGTTGAGGGGGCTGCGCTGAGCCTTCTGTCATTGAGGATTTTAAAGTTTGTGCCTTTTTTTTCTCCACTTTTTTCCTGGTTTTTCCCCCTTGAATGGGACTTTTCCTCTCTCTTTTCCTATTTTTTTTTCCCCTGAATGGGATTTTCATCTTTTTTTTTCCTATTTTTCTCCCCTGAATGGGACTTTTCATCTTTCTTTTCCCGTTTTTCCCCTTAAATGTGGCTTTTCCCTTTTATTTTCCCATTTTTAGCCCTTTAAATGTACTTTTCCTCTTTCTTTTCCCGTTTTTCCCCTTAAATGTGTTTTTTCCCCTTTATTTTCCCATTTTTTCCCCTTTAAATGTACTTTTTCTTTTCCCATTTTTTTTCCCTAAATGGGACTTTTCCTCTCCCTTTTTCCTCTTTTCCCTATTTTTGATCCTTAAATGTGACTTTTCCCCCTCTCTTTTTCCCATTTCCTACCTTTTTTATTTTCAATGTGACTTTCCCTCACTTTCCCCTATTTTTCTCCTTATATGTGACTTTTCCCTGTCATTTTCCCCATTTCTCCCCATTTTTGACCCCTAAATTTGACTTTTTTTCCTCCTCTTGATCCTTAAATGTGACTTCTCCTCTTCCTGTTTCAAATTTTCCCCATTCTTCCCCCTTAAATTGGATTTTTTCCTATTTTTCCCCCCATTCTTGACTCTTAAATTTGATTTTTCCCCATTTCTGGCCTTTTAAATTGTGACTTTTCTTTTTTGTTTTTCCCAATTTCCCCCTTAAATTCCATTTTTCCTCTTCTTTTCCCCCATTTTCCTCCTTAAATTTGATTTTTCCTCCTTTTTTTTCCTGCTTTTCCCACCCCAGCTGCTTAATGGGGGAATTCTGGGCCAAATTCCAGTTAATTTTTGGGGGAATTTCACCATTTTTAACCATTTTTTTCTCTCCAGAATTGAGCAAATCCATCAGCCTGGAGCTTCCTGAAATCCAACGTCTCTCCCTCCTCCTCCTCTCCAGCTTCCAGGTAAATTCACCCAAAATCCTGGAATTTACCCAAAATTCTGGAATTTTTTTGGTCTTTCCAGGGGTGGAGCAGCTCCTAAAAATCTTAAATTAAGCCAAAATTTTGAAATTCACCCAAAATCCTGGAATTTTTTGGCATTTCCAGGGATGGAGCAGCTCCAAAAAAATCCTAAAATTCACCCAAAATCCTGGAATTTACCAAAATTCTGGAATCTTTTGGAATTTTCTGGGCTGGAGCAGCTCCTGAAAATCCTAAAATTCACAAAAATCATGGAATTGCTTCCAAAATCCTGGAATTCTCTGACAACCCCAGGTCCCTAAAACGTTAAAATTCACCAAAATCCTGGAATTTTACCCCCCAAAATTTTCTTGGATTCCTTTCCCTGAATAAAACACAAAAAAAAAAAGAATTTGAGCTCCTTTTTCCTCCCAAATCTTTGTTTTAAGCCTCAAAAAATCAGGATAAAAGCCAATATTTTCTCTTTTTTTTGTTGAATAATTCCCATTTTTTGTTGGATAATTCAAATTTTTCCCATTTTTTGTTGGATAATTCCCATTTTTTTCTGGACAATTCCCATTTTTTGTTGGATAATTCCAATTTTTCCCATTTTTTGTTGGCTTTTTCCCATTTTTTGTTGGATAATTCCCATTTTT